GGGATGCACCGAAAACAATGAATAGCTCGGAATCAACTAGACTATTTGAACTTCTCAGATTACCTGACCCTTCTATCGGAAAACAACAATAAATGCAGATGAGGACAACTAGTGTAGCAGCATTATTTGCACCAGTAGACCTCAACATACAGAAGGGAAGAATCGAAGTTCTCAAATACAACATGGAGAACACCAACCCAATCACACTTGATGGAGAAACTGTGGAAGAGTTGATAAGTTCAACTTACTTGCGCAGTATAATCGATGAAGGTGGAGGAAAATATGCAGACGCAAAGATAATGTTTGGTAGAGCAAAGTCAGCATTCCTACAGTTGAAGAACGTATGGAACTAAAAACAACGGTCAACCAATATCAAAGTCAGAATCTTGATAATAATAATTTATTCTGAAATAACAGTCTGTTACATAGGGCATGCCAGTTTACAGGCAAGATCAAATTTTCTCGGAACACACCGTCCTCACCGCGGTATGTTACTCAGTTAGGTTGATGTTTTAGAAGGTACATTAGTCATATATATAGGGGAACAGCATTTCTCCCATATGAATGTAAATAGAACCCGTAAGACTCGTATCGTGAATATGAGAGTTGGGGCGGTTTATGGGGTTGACTTGAGACGCGCGACTGATGGTCGAGAATAAATTCACATAAAAATGAGCGCTTCTAGAAACCACAACCTTATAACCTGGAACATCTGAGGTATCAATGATGGCTCAGGACGAAGTCACCCGTTCCATATGGGTTTACAGTGGCATATCTCGAGAGGGTTGAAAGAAAGAGTAAGAAAAAGGAAGGACGAGAAGCAGGACAGACAATGTTGATGACTACAAAGTTGATTCATTTACGGTGGAGTAGTTAAAGCACGGCTACTTAGTCTAATTCTCTACTATTAAGGCAATTTGGAGGAAAAGCATTGTAATAGGTTGAAGAAAGCAGGAGTAAATGTGGTATGAATGGACAAAGAGCTGCAAAATGGAGGTGGTTCAAAAAGAAGTAGAAAGTACGGGATTAGATGTAGTTTTGAAATATAGTACTGAAAACAGTATTCTGATACATAAATGTCCATTTCCCCTTTTTGTCGAAGTTATTTCAACTCATTTTTATAGATTTTATCAGGTTGAGAGCAGACTTCGTTTTTAGCAAATTGTCTAGTTTTGCTAGTAGTAGGATTTTTCAAGGGGCAGTGAAACTAATACAAGGTTACAAACATGATTTAAAGAAGTATTTCACATAATGGATTAGCATCAATACAATTGGTTCGTGGTATCCTATTTGGTTATAAGGAGCCATCATTTAACAACATGCTCCACCCTTCAGACATGGGTGAATTGAAGCTATCTTCCCACTGTCATGTCTGCTGTTTAGCAACGCCACCCTCCCTCCATTTTCGATGTTGGGCTCTCTCAATTTCGTGGTGTGTATGAGTATTGTTTTAATCTAAGCTTTTTGTTGGAGTACACTGTCTCTACTGGTTCCATGTCACAAGCAAGTCAGATAGCTAAAGCTTCCATAAAGGTCCTAAGGATATGTGCTTACATTCACCTGTGCAGTTGAGAGTGGAGTTACGTTCTAGGAGTTGGCGTGTCAACCGGTTCCGAACATCTTCTACTCTTAGTTTGTCTGTGGTATTCACATTTGAGAAAATAAAAGGGCAATATTTAAGAGAGGGTCATATGGATACTTTGTAAGGGATAAGATTATCATTATTGGCCTCTGTCATAAATCAATGTTTTATTGTGAAACAAATTAACCGTCTAGATTTAGGAATAATAAACGAGACGTGTTCTTCAAATTTAAGGCCTCCTGTGTAATTAATACCTAGATCGCACACTGATTTAAGTGTTTGAACCGTACTCTTATTTAACCAAAGTTGTGGTTCATAGGGATGTTTTCGTAAATGCATGATCCCTCATTTGTTGAGGTTGAATAAAAATTTTCATTTTTGCTACAGATAGTTATGTTATTGAGGTCACTTTGAACCTGGGATACACCTTCACCTGACGCTTCAGGCTTAAAGCCGTTTATAATTATGAGGTCGTGAGTACATAAGCATGATATCCCAGATTTTATGGTGTTACACATGTCGTTTATATACACTCGAAAAAAGGGTATAACTAATACACACCTGGATGACTCCACTGGTTATTGGTCTAGGTGATGAGAGAGAACCATTTGTTTATGTTCTGTTAAGAATGAAGCAAACTATGAATATATTGGGTTGATGATTCTGAAGGACTTTAGCTTGACGAGAAGCCTTTTGTGTTGGACCTTACCGAAAATTTTTAAGGTCTAATAAAACTGATACTAGGTGTCCGTTGTCTCGTTTCAGAGTTATGTCACTTAGATAGTCTATTAGGCATGCGCCGCATGATCTGGACCCAAGAAACCCATGCTAGGAGGTCGAGAGGAGATTATTAATAAGCAGATATTGAACTACCGCAGCCTTAACCGCATTTTTCATCATGCCAGTACAACTGAGGTTATGTTTATAGACCGGTAATTCTCAGCGTTTACTCCAGGTCCTGTTTTAATTTTGAGAATGATATGTGTAGTTTTCCAGGCAGTAGGGTGACACGCTGTAGAGAGTGATACCTCAAGTAGTCTGGAAAGTAAAATACACATATCATCACCTCCACATTTTAGCATGCTAGCCGGAATGCAATCTAGACCATCCGTGTAGGAGTGTTTCAGTGTGCTAATTCATTTAGAAATATTTTGTTTATTGAAGTTTACATTTATAAATTCACAGGAAGGTACTGGGATTGACTCTGAGTTATTTCGTCAGTTGACGGGGGACAAACGTGTCCAATAAATAATCCCGTAAGAAGTTCAAGACCTTCGTATACTTGTTTGTCCATAATAAATATGTTTCCACCTTCCTAATTTACAACGTTTAGGTGTATTGTATAGGAGTTTGATAGGTGTGAAAAAGTATTATTAAGTTTGATGCCACATTTTTTCCTGTGTGACTGTTTTTCTGTGTACGTATTGCCTCTTCCTGGACAAATATTCCTGTCATTATAACTAAAGAGGGAAAGTCAGTAAGATTGTGGAATCGAGTACAATGTCCTTGAAGACGTCTTCGTGTATTTATTTATTTTAACACATAAATATTGATACAAGGAAGCAGGTGGTTCTCTTGGGGGGCCACATCCGGAGCCTTTGACCTAAAGATCTGATCCACAAGGCAATGTAACATCATGAGGAAATGCAGTACCATGGTAGCCAGTGACCAAAGCCATTTGTTCCCTCAGGATACTGGAGCTCATGTGCACCATCGGTTTGGAATCAGGGTTTTCCATCTCATCCAGATGTACTCTCCATATCCACCAATCTGGTTAAAGTGCTAAATTAGTCCACTAAAACTAATGTGGTCAGCATCCAATGTCGGGCACTTACCTATCTATTGATTTTGGGGATTTGTTTACAGCTAAAACAGCATGATGTTTGATACCTCTGATAAACACGTTTCGGCTGAGCACAGAATGATATATTTGATATAAACAGGAATAGATTACGCAATGAACACACCTGCATGGTCAAGGCAGCCCAGTGTTCAGGTGTATACCATCTCTAACCTTCTCCATAGCGTTAAATATTGTATGAAATCTACTTGCTTATCGTGTATTCGGCTTCAAGGATCGTGTGAATTAGAACCATTACCATTACAGAAGAACAAATATCGAAAGATCGGAAAGAAGGACACCTTATCAAGATACAGAAGAAAGCTCTCAGTAAGTGTGGGAACTATGAGGGGATTACACTGCTATCAGTACTGGGTAAAGCTTTAAACAGTGTTGTTGAGCCAAATGAGAGAGTAGACGCAGAGCTTCGAGATCAATAGGAAGGAAACCTGAAGGATGGATCTTGTGCCAAACAAATTGTGACACTACCGATCACTATTTAGTGATCAGTTGAACGGAACTTGCCACAATGCATCAACTTCCATGACCATGCTAAAGAATTTAACTGAGTGGATAGGAAGACTTCCTGAAACCTTTCTCCACACCATGGGGCACGTGATAGGATTGTCATACGACTGACTGCAATGCAAAGCCGTGCGTGGAGGACAGCTGACCGACTCATTCCAAGAGAGGGAGTGTCAGACAAGGCTGCTTGCCCTCACCATTACTCTTTCGTGACTAGATTAAGGAAACTTTCACATGTCAGGAGGAAGCAAGGAAAGCCGTGGACAGCCTATATGAGGCCAGGCGATCTGAACTTTGGAGATGATCTATCTTTTCTATATCAAATGTAAGTGCACTCATCAACCGTGGCATCAGTTTCTGCAGCAGTGCATTTCAACATACACTAGGGTAAAGGGAGGTCTTATGATGGAACACAACTAGCACCGACCAAGCTGCACTTGATAGGGAAACCCTAGTAAAAGTGGGAACTTTCAAATACCCAGTCAGCACCACCGATAAACAAGAAAGATTTAATGTAGACGTAAAGGCATGGATTGGCAAAGCAAAGGGAGCATCCACACAGTTGAAGAACACCTTGAACGCAAAACACCTGCCAGCCAACAACAAAGATAGAATTTTCAATATGAATGTCAAGACAGTTAAATTGTATACACGTGAAACTGGGAGACTGACTACAATCATCGTCAAAAGCACACAAATATTTAGGAACAGCTGTTTACAGATCAAAGGACAAATTGCGCCGTGAATTTGAAGTAGATATCAAAAGAATAAATAACAAATGGGAGCAACTGGAAACGATAGCCGAGAACAGCGTTGGTTGAGGAACCCTGACCGGCTGCCGATACTCCTAGAAAACAAACACGGGTGAAAAAATTGTGAACATTTTCACAACATTTAGGCTTGATCATCTTGAACTCACCGCTTCGGGATGTGTATACCAAACACCGAGGCTAAAGCACCAATAATTTGGTGGGTATTTGACCTTGAGCCCTAGCAGTAAGTGATACCATTGGGCCAAACTGTCAGTATCATACGTGACTGATTATTATCTATCGCTTTTATCATAGAGTGAAGGTGCATCTCTAAATGCTTAATATGTTGTTGATTAAATTTCCTTCTTGTTGTATTCGTTAAATCTCACCTGTATGTGCACTTGTAAGCGTACGCCGCTCACCATGCTCTTACAACACACAACATACCACAAGGCTAGATTCAATCCGCTGCATATTTGGATCTCACTAGGAATTTACTCCTAAGTCACTCCCAGGCATCTGACAGAGTTTCTCACTGATTTATATAAAATCAAGGACTACAAAAATCAATTTATAAATTGCACGACCTTTGAGCGACCGCACATGTACGAGTAATGTGTAATCTCCGGAATGATAATTTCAGTCATCCAGATTTCTGGGGACACTAATATCAAAATTTGACACAATTTGCTATAGTTTAAACTATCGAGAGCTTTTTAATATAATGTTATGTATGTTTGATAACCAGCTAGTGTTCTAACTGACAATGAAGTTTATTTTTTCCAGGTTCTAACAGTCGTATAACAGAAGAGAGCTTGAGATGGTCTTCCTGTGTTCTGGGTCAAAGATTTTGGGAGCACAGGCAATTACTAAGAATATATGTAAATTCTTGGGTACTACAGTTAAACCTATTTTAAAGCCAGAAATAAAGCGAAACTCGGTATATTTTGATTTATGAAGTGTAACCTGAACTTTAAATTAGATTTTCATCAACAATGAATGGGTGGAGTCATCTAGTGGAAAAACCTTTGACACTATAAACCCAGCAACTGGTAAAGTAATATGTCAAGTTTCGGCAGGTGATAAGGTAATGCCTGTTTTCCTTTGGTATTTCAAAAATTTTCATTCTCCAATTTTTTAAACCAATGAATGTGTATATCTTGGTGAATGATCATTTTTTGTTTAGAAGTACTCCCTAAGTCACTTATTTGCTCATGTTAAGTTATATGACGTAATCATATAAACGGTATCTATCACATGTATAACGATTCTGCATTTATTTCAGCAAGACATCTGATTCCGTTTGGTTATAACTGTCCTTTTATAAAAATCAGCATACAATGCTTAAATGAGGATCTTCATTTATTAACTCGATTCCTATAGATAGATGACATATGTAACGGCTACTGCGTAAAATTGATAGACGTACTAGTTATGTATTCACTACCTTTAGATTTTGTTGTTGTTGTGGTGACCAATTTCTGCTTGTAGGTTGTAAAGCTGTTCTCAGTCACTCATCTTGATATTATGCTTCTTTTTCTTGATTCTGGTGTAAGTGGTTTATCATTTCCCAAACTTTTATTTTGTGCACTGTTAGAAAGACTTATCAAATACATTTTATTCCTAAACTGTCTGGTGTATTATTTTGGAAAAATATTGTCCTGTGATGACTTAATTTTATTAGCTTATTGAAGAGGCTGCTTAATTGGGCCTTAGTTAACCATGTACTTATAACAAATATATTTTTGATATATCCAAGCGAGTAGAAAAAATATATTTCTGACATTTGGACATAAAAATATATTTATTGCTAACTTTCTACTCAATGCTCAATTTTTTTTCAAACTATCAAGTCCAAGCTTGCCACTGATACTTATAAACAAGTATTTATAAGTACTAGTGTTAATTTTAAAGTGATGATTTTAATTTTGCTTTTAATTACTAAACTACTTTTCTACGTTTCGTCCTTCATACAGGCTGACATAGATAAAGCAGTTAAAGCAGCTCGTAAAGCCTTCGAATTTGGTTCTGAGTGGCGTACCATGGACGCATCACATCGTGGTGTATTACTTAACAAATTGGCTGATCTTATTGAACGTGACAGAGTTTATTTGGCTGTAAGTGTTTGTACTCTTAGAAATAACTTTTCAAGTTACTGTGTACACTTGAATAGAGTTAGGACAAATCGACTTCTGTTCCCAACTTCCAAAGATCTGAATCTACTAAAATTTATATGTTGCTCATGGTTTCCCTTGCGAATCTATTAATAATGAATGAGCTGTATTTCTAAAATGCAGCATGGACCACCGAAAATTTATTTATATCGTAGTTTTTCATTGATTGCTTCTTCTGATAGTTTACCTACTAATTTTGCAAAGACTTACGTAATCTGAAAGTTAATCAATAGACAAACAAGGCAGTTCAGTGTTATGTGCCATGTGCAGTGAGATCTTTCGTTATTTCGTAGTATGTAAAGATGACAGTTTAATAATTAAAGATTGTAGATATCATGACTTGGTGAGATTGGAGCAGATCTTTTCATTCTTTAGCTTCCAGGTTTTGGACATTACTAATTTTACTTATTTCTCCTCCTGTTCTGGATATGGTGTTTTGATTTTATTAAGTTCGTTTTGGTTATTGACAAGATGAATAGATTACTGATGGATAGGTGATCAACTGTGATATCTTATTGTCTAATCATAATAATTTTTCAAGAAAATGAACAAGCTCACAGATGCGAAAAAAGCTGGTCGAAAATTCAGGCTTTTCCTGCTAGTCAGTCAGCCTTGTTTTTTCTCAATGGTGTTCTCTTTCTATCCCTGTTGTTTTAAAATGTGTAAATGTGAACTAATAAACTTTGACTCCAAGTCTCTACGTTGGTCAAAGTACTTGAATGTGCATATTATATTGTTAGTTAATTTCTTATTTTATTTATGTAACCAATATCCATTATATATGTTTATTTCTGTTCGAACCCCTTATTGTCTTAGTCTTTGGAAACATTGGATAATGGGAAACCATTTGCTGATTCATATAATATTGATCTAGATTTAGTGATCAAATGCTACAGGTTAGTGATTGAAATAATTTTAATTTTGTAAGTAGTTTTTGATTTTTGTGTATGTTCGCGCTTCATGTTTGCAATTTGTATGGTAGTCTGTCCAGAAAAAAGCATGTTGATGTTTTTGTCTTTCAATCTAAACCTATACACTTGATTGTCCTTTTATTTTCGATGGATAACTGTTCAATGTACTCGAGATTTCACTACTATGAGCACAAAATATCGTTTTATACATTCTGAAAATAGTGGTAAGTTTGTGTATATACTTAGGATTTAACCCGATGTTTCATTATGATTTGTTCACTAAGTGAAAAAAACACAACCCACCAGCAAAATAGATAATGACTAGCAGTGGAATTCAGATGGCGCGTCGTTTCTTCCTGTTTTGGACTAGCTGGTTGGTTGTACTTGCTTGATCTCAGTATCAGTGTTCATTCCGGCACTCTGATCCATTGCTGTTCGCTTCAAAAGCCTAACACGTTATTCTATTGAGCTATTAAGGTCAGAGAGTCAGTAACTTGTTCAAAGACTGTGATTTTTATATCATCACTAGAAAAGGTTCGATTAATTCCATTTTCTAATTTTTCTCTACCGAAGTTTTATCGTCTTAGTAGGGGAATTTTCTGTATATAAAAGAACGTCGTCCTAGATCACACTGTTAGCTACAATGGTGCAGGTTTATTCACCCTTTGTTTTCTTTCAAGTCTTACGTTTGGCCCCCAAGTGCCCTGGTACGGCCGAAAGTGGGGAGAGTCTGCTCTCCCTCTCGAAATGCTCTCATATGGCCACGTGTATATAGCCTCTGCTAGGGACGTTCTACTCACTGCCTTCTCGTGGCACTACTGTTGTTTACGAAAGCGAGAGGACGAAAAGCGAATGTCCGGCTGTTTAACCGGATTGGTGGACGTGGAGGATCCGCCTAGGGGAGTTGGAAAACCCTGATTCCAACTCAATGGTGCACATGGGCTCCAGTATCCTGAAGAAACGAATGGCGTATAAACTAACTGTTGGTCACCGGCTACCATGGGACTGCATCTGCTTACGATGCTCCACTGCCTTGTGGATCAGACCTTCAGGTCGAAGGCTCCGGATGTGGTCCCCTAAAAAAACCACCTGGTTCGGTTTGGGCACCGGGCAGTATCACAGCCCTCACACAAATCAAACGAGATTTGTGTGGCGCATGTGTATTTGGTGCCCCTGTGTACCAATATTTATGTTTTAATAAATAAGTAAATTTGTAAACTAATTTATCGATCTTTTTATTCCAACAATCCATATTTCCGTCATGATTAATATCCTCTATGCTTAGTCTTTCCTATTTCGACGAATACGATTACTACATCTACTACTCTAGGATTCTCCTTGACAATGTCATTTAGGTGTGTTGATGTGGTATGGTAACTTAAGGTAACGTATACATGTTAGGTCCTATGCTGCATATACCTGACTTTTCTAAAATGACTTGTCAACAGTGGGATAATGTAAATCTTTTGTAACAATGATATAACCCATTACTATGTATTGGGAAAAAATTTCCAATGCTCTCTATGTTTTTTACTCGAGTTACTTGGAATCCAATCACTGGATTACAAGTTTGAATCTCATTCCATTTATTACAGTCATAATTTAATACACAGACTTCTGTGCGTTTGTGAGGTCGTCACAACTATATCAACAACCAACACATTATTCAAGTCTTATTACTTTTGTCACAATTTCTGTAAGGTTTTTAAATTTTATAATTATAATGAATTCCTAAGTCATCTGCTTTAGTCTACCAATTGTTTGTAGTTCTTGTGTAAGTTAGCTGAAAATCGCAAATTGGATTAAACCTATAAATATCACTATTACTATTGTTATTAGTACTATCATTAATTGGTAAATCCAAAATAATAGAAGAATTTTACTGACGATGTTTTCTCTTCACCTTAGTTAATTGTGAAAAACTGTGATTATAGTCAGTCAGTCATTGGTATGATGATCATTTTCAATTCTTTATCGATTAATTTGTTTAGAGACAAAGTTACATTGGTTTAGTGGTCTTGTCTAATTCCGTCAATATACAGTGAAGCCACTTTGTGTATGCATTTAACTTCTGATGTAATAGTGATACTCGTTGAAATAAAATCAAATTATATATAGAAATATTAATTAATATTAGGACGAATAGTTTGATGTAAATTGGGCGCTGAATACCATTATATGTGAAAATTATATTTGTAATAATCTCAGCGATTGAAATTCAAATAATTCTAACGTTTCGTCCAACAAACTTGTCTGGACTTTTTCAGTTTATTTATTTATTTATTTTAACAAATAAATATTGATACAAAAGGGAACCAAATAAATGTGCACCACATAAGTCACTTGATTTTTGTGTGGGCTGTGATACTGTCCGGATGCCCAAACTGAAACAGGTGGTTTTCTTAGGGGACCACACCCTGATCCTTCGACCTAAAGTTCTGATCCACAAGGCCGTGGGGTGACGTGAGGAGATGCAATTCCATGGTAGCCGTTGACCAACAATTGATTCGTACACCGTTTGTTTTCTTAAGATCCAGGAGCCCATGTGCACCATTGGTTTGGAATGAGGTTTTTACAACTCCCCTAGATGAACTTTCCGTGTCCACCAACCCCGTTAAAGAACCAGACATTTGTCCTCTCGCTTTCGTAAACAACAGTAATGCCGCGAGAAGGCAGTGAGTAGGACTTTTTTGACAGTGGCTGTGTACGCGTGGCCATGTGAGAACATTTAGAGTAGGAGAGCTGACTCTTCACCCTCGGCCGTACCAGGGCATTTGGAGGCGGGCTTCTTCAGGGTAATAATCAAAACCAAAACAATATTTAGTTTTTAACAACAAAATAGCATCTTTACTGTGTTTATCAAATCATATTTAGGTGTTGACTATAGTAAGTAGGATAACATGATACAGTGTGTGTAAGTATATGTAAGATCAAGTTAGTAATAGTTGATATTCGGTGTTGATTTGTTTTTATTAGAAGTGAAAATAAAAGTGCGAAGTGAAAAGTGCATTTTGAAACATCAACGTACATGCCAAATGAGAATCATCAAATACATAATGGTATTGTTAAAATAACTCAGATTAATTTCAGTCAGAATAACGATGCATGTGAAATAAACAGGTTGGATAGAGAAAAGGTCCAATTGCTTGCTAACAAATATTTTCCAAATAGTTGCTAGCTGAATACCATCATTCTTTTCTGTTCATGCTGTTCTTATTTCCCGCATATACATCGTTTTTACTGTCAATCTTTCTTTATGTCTACTTAAACCTTTCTGAAGTATTTTGGTCCCTTCAAAATTGATCTTGTGTCCTGTTTCCAACGCATATAACACTATTGTCGACCTATTCTCATGTTTCGTCAAATCAACCGAGGACTTTGGGGACATTTTTCCAGCGTTGTTTGTGTTCCTTTAACCTCACATTCAATTGTCTTGAAGCTTCTCCCACATACGCTGCATTACAGTTATGACAGCCGATCTCATGGAGAACATTCTGTTGTTCCTTTGGAAATCTATCCTCAACCTTCACTAATGTTGATCATATGTAGCCTGTAAATACACTCTTATATTATGTTTGTTTAAAATCCTCTTAATTTCTTATGTTTCTCTGTGGTACGGGATAACCACGGTGGACTTCCAATCTTTCAGTATACATTCTAGTTTAGCTTTTCTTCTTTGGGGTAATTGTTACCCCTCAGCGTAAATAAAGCTCTATTCAATTCAACTTGTTGGTCTTCCTTACATGTAATGAGATTAATATTCCCGTTAATTAAACTCTTTACGACTGCGACTTTCGCACAATACATATGAGCCGAACTGTATTTTAAGTATCTCTCAGAATGTGTTGATTTCCTGGATACATTTATTTTCAACTTATTATTTTGTCTTCGTTCAACCAAACAATCGAGAAATGCTAGTTTGTGGTCATTGGACTCTATTTCCTTTGTTAGCTTGATGCTCTACGAAATTCTGTTTACATTTTCAAACGATTCTTCCAAACCATAAAAATGTAATCTGCACGCCGTAACCAAACTTTTGTTTGACTTACACATCTTATAATTGCACTGGTTTCTAGGGTATGTATAAGTTCGCTACAATCGGAGAAACTGGTGAATTCATTGCCACACTTTTTTTCTGTAAAGGTCCGCTCGAAATGTGAATAAAGTAGGTCATAAATACTATTCCAAGCACTTAATAACTTCGGAAGGTTCTAACAGGCATCGTAAATTCAAATCTGAGTCAGATTCTAAACAATCACAAATAATATTAAATACTTTATTGATAGGTGCATTAGTAAATAAGGAAGATACATCAAAACTTGTCATAATTTCATCCTCTTCCATATTGATGGTATCAATATTATTCTTGCATTCAAAAGAGTTTTTAATTCCATGATTAACCAATTTGTCATATGGTTTAAGTATCCTAGCTAAGTATTTCGTTAGATTATATGTCAGTGAATTGGTTAATTTCAAACTTAATCAGGAACATTTTTTATAGGTATTATGCTGGCTGGGCAGACAAATATCATGGGAAAACTATACCTGTCAATGGAAACTATATGTGTTTCACTCTTCATGAACCAGTTGGTGTTTGTGGACAAATTATACCGTGGAATTTTCCACTTCTTATGCAGGCATGGAAGCTTGGTCCAGCATTAGCAACGGGAAACACAGTGGTAATGAAGACAGCAGAACAAACTCCGTTATCTGCAAATTGGGTAGCTGAATTAATCAAAGAAGCCGGTTTCCCACCTGGTGTAGTGAACATTGTTCCAGGGTAAAGAAATTTTGAAATCGACCAAATCAATTTTTTCAATGTTTTCTTTCCAATTAAGAATATTTGTGTAAATAGGTTGATAGACTTAAGCGGTGTTGTGTTCTCCGATCCAAATTGTTTAATTGCAAAGCTCTTATTGGCTTTCTGGACAACATCAGCGCATAATCCACATAGAAGTGAGATTGCCAACTATTCTAAAGGTGTTGAATTAGTTCGTTCCGATGGCTTTAATTGTGATTGGTTATCACCGTAGATTTTGCTGTCTTTATTCTTTCTTGCATTCACGTTTTGATTGTTTTTTTGGGTTGACTTCCAACTTATGTGGTTAATGTGTGCCCAAGAATAGTTAATGGCAACAAAACTTTCGAGAATAACTAATCACAGACATGGTTATCAAAACAAATCAATTGGACACCTGTACAATAGTTGTCCACTCCTTTATGAGATAGGCGTTGACGATATTATCCAGAGTGACAATGATCTCTTTGAAATCAAACCATTTGACTTAGACAACACAACATTATCAAAAACATTCACACGAGCTGCGAATTCACGTTTACAAACGTTGACAGATATTATTTAAAGTTTGTCTCAAAGCTCGGTGAATAATTGGTTTAGGTAGTATAGAGAATGCATAAAATTTGTATTAATTAATTGATCCGGTTTAATAAATGGGTGAATATTGTATATTACAGCGCAATTCTCACTAAAGATTTCATTTCATGCTTCTGAAGTTGTCCACAACAATGTTCTATGGAGATGTCGGCATGGTATTACGGCCTGAGATGCAGGATGAAAAACACAATTATGGTAAAGGTTGGCGCTTTAGATGAAATTTGTAGTGAACATTAAATCTTACTATCCAACACTCGTTCATTTGAATAGGGCGAAAAGAAAAAAAACTCAGCAAAATAACATGGATTCATTTCATTTTGTGGTTCCTCATCAGCTACTAATAACCTAAACGCAATAATAATCATGAGGGATTTGTGTATATACTTTATGTTCAGAGGACAAGATTGATGAGGAAGTAATCGTTGTTACAGGGTATCTGAAGGATAATAATTATGCTTTAAAGTTTATCAATAAATATGAGGAGACAAACACAAAGGTGGAGTGTGATACAATAAGGATGGAAAATAATCCATTTTCTTAAGACTGTACTTCAAAGGTAACGAAGTATGTGGGAAGATCGTTTCTAGATTGAGGGCTGCATCGAAAAGAAATTATCTACCAGCAACATCGGTTTCAATATAGCGTATACTATTATAACTTACATAATCATGGAACGTCAGGAATCTAATTTTCTATTCAACATTTACTCCTGTTACCCCAAATGCCCTGGTACGGCCGAGAGTGAGGAGAGTCCACCCTCCCTCTCGAAATGCTCTCATATGGCCACGCGTATATAGCCTCTGCTAGGGACGTTCTACTCACTGCCTTCTCGTGGCACTACTGTTGTTTACGAAAGCGAGAGGACGAAAAGCGAATGTCCGGCTGTTTAACCGGGTTGATGGACGTGGAGGATCCGCCTAGGGGAGTTGGAAAACCCTGATTCCAACTCAATGGTGCACATGGGCTCCAGTATCCTGAAGGAACGAATGGCGTATAAACTAACTGTTGGTCACCGGCTACCATGGGACTGCATCTGCTTACGATGCTCTACTGCCTTATGGACTAGACCTTTAGGTCATAGGCTCCGGTTTTGGGCCCCCTCCTCTCCCCTGATCTTCTATCTCGATTAATAAATCAAGTTTCCTTATAGAAGTTATGTTGATCTAGGCATCAGTAGAATAGTAATGCATTTGGTTCACTCACGTAAATATTATCGATCATAATGATTAGAATTTGTGTGCTGAATACAAGTCGTAGTGAAAATGTGTTACAAGTTCATAAAATAGTGTAGCAAAAAGGTTTTACAAGTTGATCTTACATTCACCTTAAATGGATATTGATTTATTTTCTTAAAAAATTTTTTGTATATGTGGATTCTACATACTTAAAAATTGGTTGTTGTAGAAACTAATTTAAGTTTCTAAGTTGAATCATTCATTTTCTCTTGACCGTTACATGTATTTAATTAGCTTAATGATACTGGTTTTTCTTAGCTTTTACCTAATTTCTTTCATGTGCGTGATATTCATGAGTTTTCAGGTGTTTCCATTGTCTAACTAATGCTGTTTTCTGTCATGAGTATAACTCGTTTACTAAGTTTAGGTTTATCTATCCTGTTTTGAATTTATTTTATTTAAGCACATAAATATTGGTACATAGGGGCACCAGATATATATGCGCCACACAAATCTCATTTGATTTGTATGAGGGTTGTAATACTTCCCAGGTGCCCAAACCGAACCAGGTGATTTTCTTAGGGGACCATACCCATAACCTTTGATCTAAAGATTTGATTCACAAGGCAGTGGAGCATCGTGAGGAGATTCAGTCTCATGGTAGCGGTGATCAACGATTGATTCATACGCCATTTGTTCCCTTAGCATACTGGAGCCCATGTACACCATTGGTTTGGAATCAGGGTTTTTCAACTTCCCTAGGTGGACTCGCCGTGTCCACCGGGTGAAAGCGCCGGACATTCACATTTCGTTCTCTCAATTTTGTAAACAACAGTAGTGCCACGAGAAGGCAGTGAGTAGGACTTTCCTGGAAAAGGCTATATACGCGTGGCCATATGAGAGCATTTGAAGAGGGAGAGTGCACTCTCCCCACTGTCGGCCGTATCAGGATATTTGGGGGCGTTTTGAACTACAGTTTGTGTAAAGGTTAGTGATACTATCTGGCTACTCAAACTGAAGTTGGCGAAGCAAGGTTCAAACTTATGGCCAAGTTTTATTTAATATACAATTCAATCACCAAATACTAGATTATCCATCGACAATGTTTATGATGTTGGTAGTTTCAACAATTCAGTCACTGGTCGACAGATTTATTCAAATAATATCATTTTTACAATAACTAGTTGATGAAAAGGGTTCGAGAGAATAATGTTTGTAGCTCGCTTGGCATCGTTTTGCTCGAACCTTGTTACCAACTTTTATCCTAGCTTAACTTCATACAAATAAAGCCTGAACGGATACGTTTACTTTTGGTGTAGTAATAAATAAGTTCTAACAGCAAGTCATATTAAATAAAGCATATTTGAATATAGCTTGTCGTCAAGTAGATTGATCAGTTAGACAAACCTCAGATGACTTATGATGACTTATAGATGTAAGTTGAAAATAACCAATCACATGATAATTATACGATTGATAACCAAATACTTTTCTTATATCTTTCTATTACTACTCAAGAGAATAGGTATACCAAACAACCAAAAAACATAAAATGAATAATGTATTCAGAAATTGCTCCCAAATGTCCTGGTATGCTCCAGGGTGGGGAGAGTCTGCTCTCCTTCTCAAAATACTCCTATATACTCATGTGATTATAGCCATTGACAGGGAAAACATGTTGACTGCTCACGTTGGGCCTGTTGTTTACGAGATGAAAATGATGAAAACGAAACATCCAATGTAGGCTTAAACTGGATTGGTGGGTACTAAAGATTCATATAAGGAAGTTGGAAAACCCTGATTCCAAACCAATGGTGTGAATGAGCTCAAGGTTCCTGAAGGAACAAACGGAGTAGGAATCTATTGTTCGTCACCGTCTACCATAAGGTCGTATCTCCTGAAGTCGACTAACTGTCTTGTGGATTCGATCTCTAGTCAGTCGGTCAGTCACAACGTAGAACTTAGTACGTACGTATATCAGTTTGAGTTGCCATTCCACATTAGCACAAAGATGCGGTTGTCGATTCAAATCCAATAGTGGTAGAGGTAGTAAGAGTATAAGCAGTAATCGGGAAGATCAGGGTTTCAAGATGTTATTCAAGTAGTCTAATCGAGTGAAATAAATTTCGAAATAGAAAAAAGGTACGGGGAGTGGTCTTCTAAGAAAACTATCTGTTCTGATTAGGGCGACCGAGCAGTAGTATCCCATACTTCATACAAACCCTTTGTGATGCATATATATCTTAGTCCCTCTCTTTCCCAATGTTCCAATGTGTTCAAATAAATAAATCAAATTTGTTCAATCGTATTTCTCTCATTCCACTATCCGCTTTTTACCTTCGTATTTCTCAACAATTTTCATCAGATTTGGTGAAACTGCTGGTGATGCTCTGGTCGTTCATCCTGATGTTGATAAAATTGCGTTTACTGGTTCAACAGCTGTAGGACGATTGATTGGTCAGAATGCTTATAAACATGGTGTGAAACGAATTACTTTAGAACTTGGTGGAAAGAGTCCATTAATTATTTTCAGTGATGGTGATTGTAAGTTGCATTGCTAATTAGTTTTTTAACTTTGTAGTAGTAGAACACCTCTCTTTCTGAATTGAAACGTTGAAATTTGTACAGTTGCATCCGTGCACATTGCACTATCATTTTCTAGTCAAATATGATTTCTCACTATCTGTACAAGTCTAAAAACGAACATTTTTTTCATCCTAATTCGAAGCTCGCCAGTATTACACATACACATGCGCTGTTTTCGCCTTCATCGAACGAAATTTGCTGTCATTAAATAAACAAAAATGTGTCTAATAGGTGAGATTGATTAATTCGGTGTCAATTTCGACAGACGTCAAGTTTATATATCACTGTAGTAAAGTTTATTACATAAAAGGAGGAAATATCCAGAGTTTTTAAAATTATGTGGGTGATTCATCTGTATCGGCAGTAAGGGTTCAATAAGAAAATGCAGGTATCAGATTCATTGGAATAACGCATCAACAATTGTATAAAGTTTTGGCTTCTCGGGACGTTTGTACAGATGTATATATTTATGTAATGGTTCTATGACAAAACTATAAACTCAGGATCAACAACCAATTCTCAGTATATACCGATCTAGTATTTTCAGACAGATAAAAATGTATCAATTAGTGGAACCACTTGAGTCTATCAGCTAAGAAATGCAAGAAAACAGATTATACGACTTGTGAGTTCAACTGTTATAATACAACAATCACCACAAAACCCCATACTGATAATAATCATGTTATCACTAATGACTAGCTTCAACATGGATTTCCTGGAGATCTAGTGAGAAGCCATGACCATTAGAGTTCAGTTTGTGTCGGGTGTGAGACAGTTATCCACCCCAGTCAATGGATGAAGATCTGCTCAAGAACATGGATCGATTGAAATTAAACATTGATACCGTTGGATGCAGGCTCAGTGGTCTAGAAGTCAAACGTTAGTGAGCGAGAACGAGGATCTTCGGTTCGATTCCTGCTTCGGGGATCGTGGATGCTCGATGCTGAGGAGCCCCATACTAGGACGAAACTACCACTCAATGCTCCCAGGTTTTCGATGACGTTCTAGCTTAGATCGACCCTTGCATTTAACTGTTAAAAAAACTAGTTACTCATGAGTAGTACAGTTATGATACACAAAATTTTAAAGCAGACGTGTGAAGCAGTTCTCTTTGAATCAATATTAAAAAAGATTTAATTATATGATATATTAGCTCAATACATTTCGAACAATCTGATCACACATATACTTGTTAAGATCATTTATATATATACAACATACCCACTAAATAGCTTATTGGCTATTCTAGATTTAATACCTCAATGGAGAACGTATTTAGCGTTTCGAGTGAGATACTAGGCTTGAGTCCGAATATTTGAACATCAACATTGGGATTCAGCCGGTAAATGAAACTAATATGTTCCATGCAAATCAAAATTCACATCCTACACTCCATTGTTTAGTCTTGAGTGCTGTTAGAAGTATGAGGGCAGTTATCACTTCCCGGTTGCCCACTCCGTGGAAGGGTTTATCTAGAGGTACCTGAAAAGGAAATTGGGTTAGAAGTGGTCTTAATGACCTGACAGCGTGACCGCAGTTCCCAAGGGACAACTGCTTGAGGTCGGTCACATACGACCTTTTTGTGGGTGATTTTTGTCTTAGCTCCATACTTGTTGGGACCTTACCGCCGGAGACAGATATCTGTGGGAAAAGGCAAGGTGTGCATTTTTAGGGTCGACCTTTTCTAACCACACCTCTCCTTGTGGGAAGGCAGCATCGCTGTCATTCTGGTTGTCTGAAGTAAAAACCTTACTGATGTCCCACCTCTATACAGTCAGCAGAACGACTTCGCCTTCGGACATCGGGTTTGCTGCTTTTAGTCTTACCGCTCTTCAACCGACCTGCCTGACTGGTATGGTAGGACCTTGAGAAATGATTGTTCCAGCCAGTATTGCTCGACTGGTTCATCACGATAGGCAAGCCCGACCACCACGTCAAGGTAGCAGCAACGGTCGGAACTCCATTGTTAGTCACTACCTATCTATTCTAAATATAAGTCTATTTTATTTTTAAAGATTATTTCACTCTATCATAACCTACTTTATTCATTCTACATTAATATTCTTTTTAAATCTCAGTTGATCGAGCCATAGCTACGTCACATTTTGGTTTATTTTTCAATCAAGGCCAATGTTGTTGTGCAAGTTCACGTATATTTGTTGAAGAATCAATTTATGATAAGTTTGTTGAATATAGTAGTGAAGAAGCTAAAAAACGTATAGTTGGTAATCCTTTTGATTTAAACACAACACAAGTAAGTAACATATAAGGATATTTAAAATGCACTTAATTATTACGTCCTAATGGAACCGTAGTTTGACCGCATGATCATGTAATGTTCATCATATTGATATTCATTAGATCTGTATATGGTTTTTGGTTACGCTAAAAGGATCAGATATTTTCTAAATATGATTATTAATTGATTCATCTATTTGAACGCATTAACATAGGTGAAGAGGGAAACCAAGATATATATGCGTCACAAAGGATTTGTATGAGGGATCTAATCCACAAGACAGTGAATCGACTTCAGGAGATACGACCTTATGGTAGACGGTGACGAACAATAGATTCCTACTCCGTTTGTTCCTTCAGAAACCTTGAGTTCATTCGCACCATTGGTTTGGAATCAGGGTTTTCTAATTCCCTTATATGAATCTTTAGTACCCACCAATCTAGTTTAAGCCTACATTGGATGTTTCGTTTTCACCATCCTAATCTCGTAAACAACAGGCCCAACGTGAACAGTCGGTATGTTTTCCCTGTCAATGGCTATAAACACATTAGTGTATATGAGTATTTTGAGAAGGAGAACAGACTCTCTCCACTCTGGGGCGTACCAGGACATTTGGGCGCTAAACCTTGACCATATAATAACTAATGTCATAGTGACCAAATTTCATGTTGATCACATTTGTAATGGCCACTTCATCATAGAAATTGATATCATCGTGAAATGAACATGTAGTTTGGTATCTAGGCTTTGTGTTTGTTGAAATTCAGTAGTAAGATATGTATTTAACTATAAATAAAATGGTATTTGTTTGGTAGATTCAATCTCATGCCATGTAGTTTGGAAATCATATATGTTACGTATAAACTGATGAAGTGACGTTTATACTAAATTCTCAACGAAGAATCGGTTTCCTCGGAGTTTCACATGACCTTGGTGTTTGGCTATACTCTACCACTTGTTTTTCTTATCAACCACTTGCTTATGATTTTAAAACTTTGGTCAATATTGAAACCTTTAACAGTCGATGAATATATTTTAAAGTTAGTTGTATATCATCTTGGTCTTATACTAAAATACGGCTATTTGTTATTCAGGGTCCACAAGTTGATGAACACCAATTTCAAACTGTTATGTCATACATTGAATCTGGCATAAAAGAAGGTGCCAAATTATGTACCGGTGGCAAACAGTTAGAATCAGATGGTTATTTCATTCGTCCTACAGTTTTTGCTGATGTTCAAGATGAAATGCGCATTGCTCGTGAGGAAGTAAGTTATTCTATTATTTATAGCTTGTTTCAACTTGTATGTGCTATACATGATGGACATTGTTGGTTATCTTGAAGATTTGATTTTACCTTCAGTGTTTATGATAACAGATGTATCTATTGAAATAAATGCTTTTCATTTGTAAATGCTTCATTGATACATTTGTCAGTTTGATCAAGATGAATCTAATTAGTGATCTAAAATTCCTTATATCATGTTACCTTAAGTTTAGATTCATTGGAATAACTCCACTATGATCGTTTAAAGTTGAAAGACAATCTTAGCTTCTCGAAATAATTTATGTATGAAAATGTATAAATAATCAATAGTTCTGCAAGAAATCATAATTAGCTGAAGTTGAAACTCACATTCAAGGTTATGGATTCAGTAGCATGAGTTAATTTTCAACACAGGGAAACATTAAAATTATTATTACAATATGGTCGAATAGATAAGTTTATCTTGAGATGGTGGAGACGATTTGTAGCTCATGTGGATGATTGTGAAGTTTTGTTCTCTGAGCTGAATGGTTTGGTCGTGGAGCTTTGATCGCTTTTCTGAACGACATCATCAGTGCAAACTCGAGGTATAAGTGAAGGGTTCGAATTTCTCCACATATGGCTCACAGCTTGTCCTGTACACGTTGATGTTGATTGACTATTATTGATCGTAAACACGTCATTGTTTACTTCTTTATTTTGGTTGTATCTTCCGTTGGTTTGATTTTGGTCCTATATTTGTCCGCAATTTATCTGATTAGTTGATAAATTAGATCTATTTCAATGTGTTTGTTGATTGCTGATTGACCTGAGTGCCAAGCTTCTAAAAATTCTCTGGTGCATTTAGAATTGTCTCTATCCAAGATCTCAACATGTTTCCAGTCGAACGTGTGTCCACAGTTGTCCACATGCATTGATGTAAGTAAAAATATGTCATGGCATTTGACCGCTAATTGATGTTCACGTAGGGGGAAATGAAGTGGATGTCTGCTTTGTCCGATGTAGTGTTTTTCACGGTTGGAACAATTTATTTTGTAGATGATGTTTGGTTTTTCTCCTTTTGTCATACAAAATTACAGAATCTCTTAGTAAAACCTGAAAACTATACAGTTAATAGTTCATTTGCAAAATGTCAATCAATCGTCTCAGACTTTATTGTTCTTTCGTTTCCACACCAATCATTCTCTGTTCTCGTTCTCTTATCTTCTCTCTTCTTAACTTTCTGCCTCCAGGCATTTATAATACATACTACTTATATCTGTCAACATCAGTAGCACACACTAGAATACGAATTCCATTCATGTATAACAGTAGTTAATAATATTGATTTCTGTTTTCTTTTTTCATTGTTGTAGATATTTGGACCTGTAATGCAAATTATGAAATTTCGATCATTAGATGAATTGATACATAGAGCAAATCATACACAATATGGTCTTGCAGCTGGTATATTCACTAATAATTTAGAAAAAGCTATGCATGTTATGCAACATTTACAGGCTGGCACTGTTTGGTAATGTTAATTCTAAGTTTTTAATGATAATAATTAAAATGATGAGACTACAAATTGTGGACTACTTTTGAGGGTACTGTATTAACCTTAAGAAAATTCACCTACTTACTAGGATCAAAAGAAAGTTATAAATTAGTGATCGATAGCATTCAATCAACACTAAGAAGGACTTAACACGCATGACATTGATCACCACCCAGTGATCAATCAATTGTGATCACATCTCAGTCATACAGGAGGTCTGTGGAGAACCGAATAGCTCAGTGGTAACGTCTCTGACTGTGAGGCTGAGTGACTGGGGATCGTATCAGTCAGGGATCACTAGTTCCCTCAAGATAACAAGTACACCTTGCTGACGAGTGCCAAGTAAAACGAAACCCGGGTCCAGGGTTTCCTGTTGACCACCTCCAACCATCATCTTATTAGTGAGTGGGATTAGGATTAAAAGCTAAGATCAGAGGTTAGGGTTAAGAATATGAATTAGAGTTTTCATCATGAACTAGTAGTATCAGTTAGAATCCCGAAGATGCTGTTTAGCCATATGGATGAGTAGTTTTCGGGTCAAATTCCAGGACTAACTATCTCAAATATCATTGGTGTGTCCATAAATTATAGTCTCACTGTTGAAACTCATTAGCCTTTATGCTAATGTATATTTATAACGAAATATTTATTGTATTTCAATGTCGGGTTGTTCTGAGCTGCAAAAGGTAAATATAGACTACTTGGTTGGTATTCGCCCAATAAACGCAATCGGTAGTCGAAGAGATTAGGTGACATTAGCTTAGAATAGGTCACAGTGGTGAGTATTTATTCATTTTTTACTTTCCTCTAGATTTTGTGTTCCCGTATCCCTTCATTCATATTTTTACACTCTGTATTTCAGGATCATAGTGTCATGGCTGATTTTCTTTCACTCTCATTTCTGTCAAATTATTCCGACTACTTTTCAAAGTTATTAACTATGCAGGTCATAACGTATAATTGGTCAAGTCTAGGTCACTAGGCCATAAGCTGGATAGTAGTCACAGAATAGAAAAAAAACCACAGTCAGAATTCCGATAGCCGAATCTAACACATGATATTGTTTAGTACCTGTAATGATCAAATGTGTTCAATTTATGAATTTGTCATTAGAGTTGTATATTTCTTTGTACAGGATCAATTGTTATTATGTTTTCGATGCTGCTGCACCTTTTGGAGGTTATAAGTTTTCTGGAGTTGGTCGAGAATTAGGTGAATATACTTTACAAAATTATACAGAAGTTAAAACTGTAAGTATTCTATAATGCCTCCCCCTATGTTTATTGTTTCTCTCATCATTATATATATGTGTTGAACAGCGAAAGTGAAACTTAAGTGTTTAATTCACCTAGAGATAACTATAAGTAAAGCTCGGATACTTTGGTTTTAATTAGTATTTCTTACTAGAGGTCAAAACTAAGACATTTAGTACGAAAAACTAAGAATGAATGTACAATCATTTGTGAAAAATCGCATAGATACCAAACCTAATTGTATTACACATAAATTGAGTAGAATAGAATACAGGTGATCATTACATGCTCATAGTGTAGTGTCGGTTACTATGTTAAGCCTACATAGCTTATTCTAGCTTCTAAACAGGTCAACTTATCCATTCTTCTTGAGTCACATTTTGATCTTGTTAATTATTCACTTATCAACCTTGACGGTTTTTATATGAGCGTATGTGTGTGTATATTTTATCCTACTCATCACATGTCTGTAGCTTATTTTTTGTGTGACTATAAATATCGATTAACGCTTGATTAAATCGAGTTGGGGTACACGCTTTCTCCACAGCACGTCATTTCACTTCACTTCGTTTCTCCGATCGTTTGTCTGGATCAACGATTGTACAAAATATACGTATTCGAAATCCATTCTCGTGTTTGACTTATTTAATTCCGTTATACACTAATGCTATTTAAGTCGATAATTATGTACGAGAATAGTCAGGATGTATATTTAAACAGCAATCATTCAATAACGATCATTTGTCCTATCTAATTGGAGTCAGATCCTGCTGGGCCACAAAACTTCTCAAGATATGGTTACCTGTCACGAACGATTGAGGAAAATGAATTTTATATTTCATTCGCACTGCAATCTATTAAGTAACTACTCACCACATAATATATTACTTAGTCTTAGCAGCCAGTGTTACATTCCTTTGTTTGTACTTGTACTTGTACACATTTTAATGCCTGTTTATCATTTCGTAGTTTGGTGCAATATCTTGGCCTAATTAGCCTTCAGTTTTTGATTCTTGTACTCCTGAAGTTAGTATTATGTCCAGGTTTGGATTCTAGCGCCATAATTTGTAACAAACTGTAGCCACTGTAGTTCACTTAGTTATACAAAGTAATGGATTGATATACCTTTATCAAAGTAAAGAGTAACAGATAACTTCGTTGGGCACTACTATACTGAATCTATGATTGAACACTGGAATTTCCCCAAGTCATTTACTTTAAACAAGCATTTAATAAACGTTGATCAGTCAGTCAGTCAGTTACAACGTAGAACTTCGTTGATCAGTTTGCCTATCTTTTACCGACTGTATGATAATATCAGTCAAAAGTTTATAAATTAGTGTGAGGAATTAGGATTAAAAGCTGGAATCAGAGTTTAGGGTTAAGAATCTGAGTTAGAGTTTTCATTATGAACTAGTTGTATCAGTTAGAATGCAAAAATGCTCTTTAGCTGTGTAGATGACTGTGTTTCAGGTATAAATCCATGACTTCTTATTTTAAATTCCGTTGGTTTGTTCATAAATTGTAGTCTCAGTAACGATATATATAGTAATTGTTGTTTATAATCATGACGAACAACTATAATCAAAAATGGATAGTGGCTAACAGTGGAATTCAGTTTGACGCGCGTTTCGTCCTATTCGGGACACGTCATCTGGATGTACCTGCATCTCAGAGTTGATGTTCACTCTGGAACTCGAACCCAGTACCGTTCGCTTCAAATAACATCGCGTTATCCATTCAGCTACTGAGTCTTGATAACCACTTGCTTGTGCAATGGGATGAAGTTTAAATTCACTTGGTATTGTTTGTTTGAATCTTCCCAGTCCTAAATATCAATGGGAAGATTCAGACAAACAATAGCAAGTGAATAACCAACGACTGTTTATCTCCTCAAACAGATTATCTTCATTCAAAATTATACCACATTTTGTATTCCACTGTTTTGACTATATTAATTTTTTTTTCTTTTTAAATCATACCCTCTAGGTGACCACACGGATACTTCAGAAGAATTCATAAACACAGATAACTATCGGTTATTTATTTTTGCTATGCTTCATAAAATTTAATATTTGAAATTGGTAGTCAATTTGAATTTTTAACTCATGAAGGCATAATTGAAAGTCTGTGATAAAATGGTGTTCGATTTTAAATACACTTTTTTTTAAAAAAAATACTATATTTTATGATATATATACATATATGTAACTTACTTACACATTTGCCCTCAAATGCCCTGGTACGACCGAGAGTGAGGAGAGTCCACTCTCCCTCTCGAAATGCTCTCACATGGCCACGTGTATACAACCACTACCGGAGAAATCTTACTAAAAACCTTCTCGTGGCGGGGGTGTTGTTTACGAAATTGAGAGAACGAAAAGCGAATGCCCGGCGCTTTAATCGGGTTGCTGGACATGGCGAGTTCGCCTAGGGGAGTTGGAAAACCCTGATTCCAAACCAATGGTGCACATGGGCTCCAGTATCCTGAAGGAACAAATGGCGTATGAATGAATCGTTGGTAACCGGCTACCATGGGATTGCATCTCCTTACGATGCTCCACTGCCTTGTGGATCAGATCTTTAGATCAAAGGCTCCAGGTGTGGCCCCCTAAGAAAACCACTTGTTTCAATTTGGGTACTTCGGCAGTATCTGGTGCTTCTTTGTACCAATATTTATGCGTTTAAATAATATCTCTTTATTAATGTAGGGAGTTATTGAAATCATTGACAGTTCTCTATATTGAATTGCATTTGTGTATTTGAAGAGTACTTTATTTAGTAGTTTGAAGAAAAAGATTATAGTCTTCCCTTCCATAAGGAGTCGAGTTCATGCTTATTGCATCTGGATTTATAGTTTAGGTAACAATTGCTTCCAAGGATACAAAATGTAAATAGCCTCCGTACGTACTCCAGCGTTAACTTCTCGTTTATGTCAGCACTGACAACAAAAGAATTTCAGTATTCTAGCAGTGGTCGGACACGTACTTTGTACACTAAAATACGTGAGTTGTCATAGAGGTTGCGAAAAATGCAACTAAGATGCAAAGCTTCAGTTTGACACAATCCTTAGACAATAAAGAAATGGTTCTGTGAAATCTATCACTATTTCTTCAGGTATAGGACAGTGCAGAACTGGGTAACCAGAAAATAATGGGTACATAGCGCTCTGGTTTCTGGACATCATCTATATCTCCAAATCTGACAGGATATATACAAAAGCAGTTGATATTAGTGATTATTACAAAAGTGGTAGTGGTGGGTAGCCTGTCTTACTGACTAATGCTACACTTGTTTTTCAGCATTCTGTACGCCCCGCAATATTGCTTATAATACATACAACACAAATGTAGGTTAGTAAGTGAAATAGCCAGGCAGCCTGAAGCAGCGTTAGGGCGTAAGAACGCTTAAAACCCATTGTCTGGTGTCGGAATACTAATACAAGACCACCAAGATCATTTTCATGACATTTGCGAAATTTTCATGTTTCCGACTTTCCAGACCTTGAGTTAGTGGTGGTACCCCTATATAACATGGCGAGTAAGAGCAGGTGTAAATAGTAAAAATTAAGTTTCAATGTACATGTACATGTTATACATCATTAAATAGCACTTGATTAGATAAGTAACAAAATGGAAACCACATTGAAAAATATTAATTCATTCAAAAGTTATGAACAGTGAAATAATATTTTCAAGACTGATTTCTGACAAGTGATTCAGATGCCTCTTGAAATACTTTCATATTGTATGGTTGATCACAGTTATACATTATAGTTATATAATATACCCTTGTGGGCCTGTATAGTGTCTGATTCTCCTGTCGGGCAGCAGGATTGAGCTATACTACTCGGGTTAAGCGTGAGGGCGAAGTCTGGCTCTCTTGTTAAACGGGATTAAACTGTACAGTTTGGATTGTCATATGGAAGTCTAGATGGTGTCTGGTTCTCCTGAACAGTGATGCCGAACCATCCACAATGTCAATGGCCAACCTGCAGTCTCACATAAGACCTTCAGCTGCACATGGCAATATATCTTACACTACATGCAATACAAATGTAGGTTAGTAAGTGAAATAGCCAGGCAGCCTGAAGCAGCGTTAGGGCGTAAGAACGCTTAAAACCCATTGTCTGGTGTCGGAATACTAATACAAGACCACCAAGATCATTTTCATGACATTTGCGAAATTTTCATGTTTCCGACTTTCCAGACCTTGAGTTAGGGGTAGTACCCCTATATAACATGGCGAGTAAGAGCAGGTGTAAATAGTAAAAATTAAGTTTCAATGTACATGTACATGTTATACATCATTAAATAGCACTTGATTAGATAAGTAACAAAATGGAAACCACATTGAAAAATATTAATTCATTCAAAAGTTATGAACAGTGAAATAATATTTTCAAGACTGATTTCTGACAAGTGATTCAGATGCCTCTTGAAATACTTTCATATTGTATGGTTGATCACAGTTATACATTATAGTTATATAATATACCCTTGTGGGCCTGTATAGTGTCTGATTCTCCTGTCGGGCAGCAGGATTGAGCTATACTACTCGGGTTAAGCGTGAGGGCGATGTCTGGCTCTCTTGATAAACGGGATTAAACTGTACAGTTTGGATTGTCATATGGAAGTCTGGATGGTGTCTGGTTCTCCTGAACAGTGATGCCGAACCATCCACAATGTCAATGGCCAACCTGCAGTCTCACATAAGACCTTCAGCTGCACATGGCAATAAAGCTTATACTACATACAACACAAATGTAGGATAGTAAGTGAAATAGCCAGGCAGCCTGAAGCAGCGTTAGGGCGTAAGAACGCTTAAAACCCATTGTCTGGTGTCGGAATACTAATACAAGACCACCAAGATCATTTTCATGACATTTGCGAAATTTTCATGTTTCCGACTTTCCAGACCTTGAGTTAGGGGTAGTACCCCTATATAACATGGCGAGTAAGAGCAGGTGTAAATAGTAAAAATTAAGTTTCAATGTACATGTACATGTTATACATCATTAAATAGCACTTGATTAGATAAGTAACAAAATGGAAACCACATTGAAAAATATTAATTCATTCAAAAGTTATGAACAGTGAAATAATATTTTCAAGACTGATTTCTGACAAGTGATTCAGATGCCTCTTGAAATACTTTCATATTGTATGGTTGATCACAGTTATACATTATAGTTATATAATATACCCTTGTGGGCCTGTATAGTGTCTGATTCTCCTGTCGGGCAGCAGGATTGAGCTATACTACTCGGGTTAAGCGTGAGGGCGAAGTCTGGCTCTCTTGTTAAACGGGATTAAACTGTACAGTTTGGATTGTCATATGGAAGTCTAGATGGTGTCTGGTTCTCCTGAACAGTGATGCCGAACCATCCACAATGTCAATGGCCAACCTGCAGTCTCACATAAGACCTTCAGCTGCACATGGCAATATAGCTTATACTACATACAACACAAATGTAGGATAGTAAGTGAAATAGCCAGGCAGCCTGAAGCAGCGTTAGGGCGTAAGAACGCTTAAAACCCATTGTCTGGTGTCGGAATACTAATACAAGACCACCAAGATCATTTTCATGACATTTGCGAAATTTTCATGTTTCCGACTTTCCAGACCTTGAGTTAGGGGTAGTACCCCTATATAACATGGCGAGTAAGAGCAGGTGTAAATAGTAAAAATTAAGTTTCAATGTACATGTACATGTTATACATCATTAAATAGCACTTGATTAGATAAGTAACAAAATGGAAACCACATTGAAAAATATTAATTCATTCAAAAGTTATGAACAGTGAAATAATATTTTCAAGACTGATTTCTGACAAGTGATTCAGATGCCTCTTGAAATACTTTCATATTGTATGGTTGATCACAGTTATACATTATAGTTATATAATATACCCTTGTGGGCCTGTATAGTGTCTGATTCTCCTGTCGGGCAGCAGGATTGAGCTATACTACTCGGGTTAAGCGTGAGGGCGAAGTCTGGCTCTCTTGTTAAACGGGATTAAACTGTACAGTTTGGATTGTCATATGGAAGTCTAGATGGTGTCTGGTTCTCCTGAACAGTGATGCCGAACCATCCACAATGTCAATGGCCAACCTGCAGTCTCACATAAGACCTTCAGCTGCACATGGCAATATAGCTTATACTACATACAACACAAATGTAGGATAGTAAGTGAAATAGCCAGGCAGCCTGAAGCAGCGTTAGGGCGTAAGAACGCTTAAAACCCATTGTCTGGTGTCGGAATACTAATACAAGACCACCAAGATCATTTTCATGACATTTGCGAAATTTTCATGTTTCCGACTTTCCAGACCTTGAGTTAGGGGTAGTACCCCTATATAACATGGCGAGTAAGAGCAGGTGTAAATAGTAAAAATTAAGTTTCAATGTACATGTACATGTTATACATCATTAAATAGCACTTGATTAGATAAGTAACAAAATGGAAACCACATTGAAAAATATTAATTCATTCAAAAGTTATGAACAGTGAAATAATATTTTCAAGACTGATTTCTGACAAGTGATTCAGATGCCTCTTGAAATACTTTCATATTGTATGGTTGATCACAGTTATACATTATAGTTATATAATATACCCTTGTGGGCCTGTATAGTGTCTGATTCCTGTCGGGCAGCAGGATTGAGCTATACTACTCGGGTTAAGCGTGAGGGCGATGTCTGGCTCTCTTGTTAAACGGGATTAAACTGTACAGTTTGGATTGTCATATGGAAGTCTAGATGGTGTCTGGTTCTCCTGAACAGTGATGCCGAACCATCCACAATGTCAATGGCCAACCTGCAGTCTCACATAAGACCTTCAGCTGCACATGGCAATATAGCTTATACTACATACAACACAAATGTAGGTTAGTAAGTGAAATAGCCAGGCAGCCTGAAGCAGCGTTAGGGCGTAAGAACGCTTAAAACCCATTGTCTGGTGTCGGAATACTAATACAAGACCACCAAGATCATTTTCATGACATTTGCGAAATTTTCATGTTTCCGACTTTCCAGACCTTGAGTTAGGGGTAGTACCCCTATATAACATGGCGAGTAAGAGCAGGTGTAAATAGTAAAAATTAAGTTTCAATGTACATGTACATGTTATACATCATTAAATAGCACTTGATTAGATAAGTAACAA